AGAGATGATTTTCTAAATTAAAATTTTTTTTTGCTTCTATGCGAAGTTAAAATGGTATTAATTTTACTATGATTTGTTTTTTTGTATATATTGTAATGAATAAATCAACTAGCATATCTAATCCATCATCATCAAGCAGTTTTAAGAACTCAGAACTTCATCAGGGCCTGTTGCTTTCATTGATTTGGCACTCTTCATTATAAAAGTTATTTTCTCTTCTATTATACTAAATGCTTCATCCAATCTGAGACTAACTTATTCTACCCTGTTTTGGGAAAAAAGTTATTGTACATATTCAATAAATCTTCTAATCCTTTTTTTTTTTGTATCTGTTACAATACTACCATCATTTTACCTTTTAATACCAACTTTCTTTTTCCTAGTAGTGCTAGTCATTTAAATTTCTCAACATTTTTCTATATTGAATTTCTCCTTGGCTTTTCTTATTTCTCTTTTAATTACTGCATTGACTTTTTTGTATTGTTGCACACTTATATTTTTAAATTTACACCTTTGCTCTATAAGGTTCAAAATTTCTTCTGTCGTCCATTCTTTCTTCTTTATTCTATCAGGCATTAGCTCTTTTTTACATTTGTTCAGTAGGATTGATTGAATGTCTTACCATCTGATGTTAACACTATTGGTATTTAGGTTTTCATATTGAACATCTAGTAATTTTTTGTTTATATTTTCCTTGAATTTCTGTTCTATTTCAACATTTTTTAACTTTGCAAGATCCAAAACCACTATATTATTACTTGAAGATTTATCTTTGTTCTTATAATAACTTTTAACAATATCAGGTAATAACAAATTAATACGAACTCAAATGTGTTAGTTCATAAATTAACACGTAAGAATTTCGACAATGATGATTACGAACTCAACGTATCGATGTCTAGAGCGCTATTCGAACAGCTCAATGAATATCTGGAGACAGACTCCCTCAAACTCTCAGCACTCAGCCCCGACTGAGAATCATTACTCTGCCTTTTATAGTATTTTTTATCCCCAAACAATCATCATTGTGTCATTTATTGAATAAAATTTTAATAAAAGTGTTAATAATTTTAAATGAAAAACCATTATTGTGGACACAAACAGAGTAGCCCACTGTTATTTCATATTCTGATAGTGACGAGTATATTACGACAGTTCTCAGATGAAATAAAAATAAAACAAGGAGTTAGACATGGTTGTGTTTTATATCCTTTATTATTCAATATTTACAGTGAAGCAATATTTGAAGAAACAACCTAAGATATGCTGATGACACAGTCATTTTGGCGAGTACCATAGCTCATCTGCAAAGAAACATGGACAGGCTCAATGTTGCATGCAATAAATATGGACTTGAGATGAATGCTAAAAAAACTAAATTCATGTTAATAGCAAAAGACCAAACAGACAATCGCAACGATAAAGCCAAATTCATTTTGAATAACGCTTTAATAGGAAGAGTATATTCATACAAGTATCTTGGAACATGGATTAATAGTAACGGGGATCAAATGTCGAATTGAAATTGCTAGATCAACATTCTCTAGATTATGAAAAAGTTTTTCAACCCGAAATCTACCTTTAGATTTAAGAACTAGGATGTTGAAGTGCAACGTATATTTTACCCTGTTGTATGGAATGGAAACTTGGACACTGAAGAAAGCAGATATTCAAAATTTACAAGCATTTGAGATGTGGTGTTTCTGTAGAATTCTTAACATATCTTGGGTTGATAAAGTTACAAACGCAATAAGTCTGAGAAGAATAAACAAAGAACCAGAGGTGATAAAATCTAGAGAGCTTCAATATTTTGAACATATACTGAGGAGCGAGAAATATCAACTCTTACATTTATTAATACAGAAAATATTTGCGGTAAGAGGAGAAGGGGAAGACCCAAAATAGACTGGCTAAAAAATTTAAGAGAGTGGTTCTAATGCAACACTATGAAACTATTCAGTACAGCCAAGAAGAACAAAGACCTTATAGCCATGATGATTTTCATATTTTGATAGAAGAGGAACATTAAGAAGAAGAAGTACTGCTAAGTACTTGCGAGGATCGTAAAGAAACAATTGTCACCTAGGCCATATGTATTGTATTCGGCTGTCCGCGAATATCTAAAATGTTTACGTGTGCAGTTAGCCCTCGCGTTAGTATTATTATGTATTACTGTGTCAATGCTCTAAGGTCATGTTAACTACTTTTAATAAATTTTTTTTTTCTTAGAATATTTAGCAAGCTTCCATTAAGATTTTCAATCTTAATTGACCATAAATTTTTACCTTATAAGTTGATATCATATTGAATTTAAATTCTAAATAAAAACTTGTGATTTTATCGCAATTTTATCACGATTTTATTTATGTCCACTATGAAAATACGTATATTTTGCTGTGTTTAAACTGTAACGGCATTTATATCACCAGTCGAACACATACTACCTACTACGTACAGCACGGCCGGCATACCCTGTTGACGTTAATATACCGAACATAATTTGCTGACAACAGTGTGACTATCACTTATTGCATCAAGAATATTTTAACGTGTAAGTTTAATATAGATGTATAGAGCTTGAATAGATTACTATTATAAAATCGTAGGTTCTTGAATATTAATATCGCTATTTTGAGGATGTCAATTATGTATATGACACATTGCAGCATTTCATTATGTATTACATTTGTTACTCTCTTGTCTATAGTGAGTCGTAGACTTATGCGGTTTCATGATTCAAAATTTGTAATTAATAAAAAATATGAGTCTGTAACGTGACAAAATATGAATTTTATGATATAGATAGATTTACTGTTTTGCTTTGCTAATGGGCGCGCGTACGTTATATCCGGCCGTGTAATCAGAAAACTGTACTGTTGCTGTCAAAGTGAACGCTATACACACAATATTCTTTATCAGTTTAATAATCTTTCCCTATATGACACATACACTGGCCTCCACTGTCAATACCTGTATAATTTTAATATTGTTCATATTTTTATCTGTTTTATATTTTGTAAATTGTTAAGCCGATACCCTCTCCCAAACGTAATCGTCGTCGTCGTTATGTCTCGCCCGGTGTGTAAGAATCTTTTGTGCTCTCTTCTCTTTGAACCACCGTTGTGGTATAAAGTGGCTGTGTGCGTGCAGCCAATAATAGTTTTTTCGTGTGTGTCGTTCATTATAATAATGCACTAATTTAACCAGGCGTCGGCCATGTCGGGGCCGAGATACCCATCTTAGGATGAGTCCCATCCGGACTGGGTATCGTATTTTATTTTATTTAATATATTGTTTTGAGCCCTTTTTCTGTTTTAAAGTTATTTTTTTATGAGTTGTATATAATTTTAGCTATAATTGATAAATGCAAGGTTATTGGTCAGTGGTGTGTCATGTATATTTAATACATATATATATTATTCCCGTAGTGCCCAAGTACAGTCNTAGCTATAATTGATAAATGCAAGGTTATTGGTCAGTGGTGTGTCATGTATATTTAATACATATATATATTATTCCCGTAGTGCTCAAGTACGGTCCGGCCGGCCAGATTTCAGAAATTATCCGCCGCGTCCGGAGTACACGGACTTGTCCGATGCGGAAGACACTTCATGTGTAATATTTAAAAGTTGTAGGTTAATTTTTTTTGTCTTAATAATTGTTTTTTTTTCTTTTGTCCCTTTATTTGCAGAGTGGTTTTTGCCTTCGGGTTTTGTCCACTATTAACTTAATTGTAATAATTTAATAAAGTCCTCTTAATTTTCTTAATCAACAAAAATCTTTTTATTGCGTGAATATCTTCAATATTCACGTGTATCTTATTTTTTTTTTTCCTTTAAATCATTTTCTCTAATTTTAAGGTAACGGTCTTCGACATACTAAAGTATGTCCATCACTGGTGACATCAAATAAACCTATTTGTTATATTTACAAGGTATCAGTGTATTATAGTCTACAACAACACTTTATATTTTAGTATATGTATATATAATTTTCTTTAATCCACTTTGTTTCATCAAAGTGCATATTATTGGTTTTCTAATTATTATTTTTTTTTTTTTCTTAAATCCACTTATGGTCCGGGTGTTGTTCTTTTTATGATCAAGACCCTCGCCTAAGTGGTTGGCGACACGATTTCATTTTGCAAGGGAGCCATGAGGGTGGCGACTCCACAATCCGTTGAGTGGCCCAAGTCGTCACCTCTCAAGTCATTAAATTTTACTAAAAATATGATACTATGTATTGAGTGTCCTACCCTATTCTGATACCTCTAACAACTTTTAATCCATCAAATATTTATCGTTATTATTTCTTTTTTTTTTTTTTTGTTAACAATTATTACAGTTTCTGACTACAATAAAAACATAGTTTTTATTATTTAAAATATAATATAAAAAATAAATAATTTTTTTGAAATTTCAAAATAGTAATTTTATTAAAATCAGAGAGTTGGAGAAATACTAGGGGACATTAAACGGTACCAATAAGTGGTACTGAAATTTATAGTTGACCATTTGTTAGGCCCGGTTTTAAAAAAAATTCGGTGAAAAAATATTAGGAAATCTGATAAAAAAATATTAAAAATAAAATAAATTAAATTGTGGAAGCGAGGTATCCAGTTGATAGCCGTTTCATTGACCTAAATATTGGTATAATAAGGGGTAAAATGCAACAGAACGGGTTATTTTGAGATTGAATTAAAACATTAAAACATTTTATAATTAAATTATAAATGGAAAGAGATGAGTGCAAAATGAATTAGATGTGATGATCTATAAACATTATAAATAGTACAAAAGTGGCGTGTTTTATAGATGGATATGAAATTAAGAAAATAAATTATAGAGAGGCATTCAGCTGTGTATAAACACTATTATACCACTTATTTGACATAATACATATAGAAATTTTAAATATAAATTGAATTATAATAAGTAAAGCTATAATTCATAATTATATATTTTTTAATAATACAATCAACAATTTAAAAAAAAGTGGAACTAGTTAGGTTTTGTCTTAATTTAATATAAATTTCAACATAAATAAACTTAATACATAATAAAAAATACAAAAAGCTTCTAAATACATTTTTTTCTCCAATCAACTCATTTCAAATTTGTTTTTTTTGCTAAGAGTGAAACTATTGAATATGACACACGCATAGCCTAAAACCAATTATTTCGAAAGTAACACACTTTGGAGTTTTATATACTGAATTATGATAACATACCGCAATTTCAAAGTTTTGCGTTAAAAAAAATACTTACCGAGGCAAATACTTCTAGATTTATCGTTTTTTGTGGAGTAATGTCCATTTTTAATTTGTTTGTAGTATTTAAGCTCATAGCCAATAAAAGCATTTTTTTAAATTTTATACTTTTCGCAGTCCAATCAACACTATACATAGCAAACTGTACTACATTTATCTGAAAAAATGTGTGAAATATAAATTTAAAAAAAAAAAAGCTATTTAAATTTATGGATTATAGTTAATTATTTCATCATAATCATCACATTCTATGATAATATAAAAATCATATTTATTTATAAATAACAAGATCATTTTTCCTAAATAAATTTAATTTTAATTATTTATGACAATATTTGATAATGTATTTATTTATAATTAAACGGGTGAGCCCAATTACAATAGAATGTGGAATATACAAATATATACATAGATGATGATTGTTTTGGAAGTACAATATTATGTTATGATTAAATTACTAATTTATTAAGATAAGATTTAAAAGAAATAACTGAATTACAAATAAAAACATCGATATTAAATTTATTTACATGTTGTATGAATCAATATATAGGGGCATTCTTACTATATAAAGTACGCTGGAATGGCACATAAAAAGTATCAGTCTGCCTAGTCGTATGACCAGGAACTAAAAAAGATATATTTGACAATAAATCTGGACAACAAATATAGCCATTTAAAAGTTTATAAAAAAAACAAATGTCATGTTTTACCCTTCTGACTTGTATCAAAGTATCAATGTTCAAATATAATAATAATGGTTCATATGAAGTGTGAGGCAAACGTTGAATATTACATTTAAAACTTATAAGTTTCAAGAAGCGATTTTGAATCGCCTCTAGAGAGTGAATTGGACCAGACGTATAAGGAGACCAAATTACTGAATTATAATCTATAATTGATCTTACAAAAGCGCAGTATAGTAATTTAAGGGCTAGAGGATCATCAAAATTATTACAGCTTCGCATTGTAAACCCTAACATTGAGGCAGCTCTATTTTGAATATGGATAAAATGGTCATTGAATGAAAGAGAAGAGTCCAGGTATACACCCAAATCTTTCATAAGATTGACTCGATCTAACTCAACACCATTTAAAAAATATTTATTTAAAAAAGACAAACGTTTTCTAGTGAAAGTAATAACTTTACATTTTGAAACGTTCAAGTATAAATTATTTTTATCACACCAATTACTTATATTATCAAGATCATCCTGTAGTAATTTGGCGTCTAGTGGAGTTTTAACAATACGGAATAGTTCAACATCATCAGCAAAAAGTAATATATTGGAATTCATACCATAAATATCATTAATGTAGATGTTAAAAAGAATGGGAGCCTTGAGGAACCCCAGAAGTAATATTATACATATATGAGTTATAATTCTTAAATTTTACATATTGTTTCCGATTAGATAAAAACGATATAAGCCAAGAAAAGATAAGATAGCGGAAACCAATTTGAAACAACTTTTTAGCGAGTATACTATGATCAATTTTGTCAAAGGCTTTGGCGAAATTTGTAAATATTACGTCCACTTGACAATTTAATTTAAATGCATTAAAAATAAAATTTTGCAAAACTAGGAGATTAGATTCTATAGATCTACCAGACATAAAGCCATGCTGTTCATCAATAATAAAATTTTTAAAGAGTGGACTAATTTTCTTATAAATAATACCTTCGAATATTTTGGGAATTATAGATATTATAGAGACAGGACGTTAATTTATTATATGGTTAATATTTCCACTATTAAAAACAGAGGATACATAAGATATTTTCCATTTATCTGGAAAGACTTCTATGGAGAGCGATCGATTGAATATCAGTAAGGAAAATAACAAAACAAATTTACATTGCATAATAAATATATTAGAAATTTTATCAGGACCAGGACAAGTTTTATAAGTTATTTCATTAAGCGCATTATAAACATCACTGAGAGTTAGCGTGCACGAATTAAGATCAACAGAAGGAAAATTTGTATTGTTGGAATATGAAATAGTTTGCCAGACTGACGATATATTTAAAGTATTGGAGAAATATTGAGCAAAACAATTTGTAATATCATCGCCACCGGAAATATTGTAACTATTATAATACATACAATTTGGAAGTGAGTAAGTAGAACGTTTGTTATTAACATATTGCCAAAAACGTTTAGGATTCCTAGTAATAGAATTTTGAGTTTTTTGGATAAAAATATTATAATCTATTTTATTTTGAACTTTACAGCGTGCACGTAAATTAGAAAATGTGTTATAATTATGTGGAGTTGGCGATTGTTTATATATTTTATGAGCTATTTTTTTATCAAAAATTAGTTTCTTCAACGTATGGCTGAACCAATGAGGGTGCTTTGAAAAGTATAAAGTTTTAACCGGGCAATAAGTATTAATTATTTTAAAAACTTTTTCATAGAATGCATTTACTGCATCATTTATATCTAGACCATTAAATATGCCATTCCAGTCAATCGAAGCAATATTAGACCTAATACAATTATAATCACAGTTAACAAAATCATACATATGTTCATTATAATTTAAGTACTTAAATGATAATATAGGTAATTCAATTGTTAGGTCTGGATGGTACATCGAATCTATTGATAGTAACGAGTGATTTTCATTAACTACTTTAATATCAAACACGTTAGAAAAAACAAGATCAAGCAATGACCCAGAGTAATTGTATATTAAATTAAATTGCATTAAATGAGCTAATACTTTAGATTCAATAGAACCAGCACGAGCACCCACAGCGACAATTGAACCACTAACAGATTGCCAATTAATATTTGGTAGATTATAATCACCAAAAATTAGAAATTTTGAACTACTATTTGTATTTAACAAAAAATCGATAGTACTAAAGTGTAAATCATGAACATTAATATCAGATGCAGGCGGAATATAAACAGCACCAATAACTATAGATGAATATCTATCGCTAATTCGGATAAATAACTGTTCAACTGAGTTATCGGAGATAGATAGGCGATGGCATGAGAACCGGTTCTTAACTGCAATCAGCACTCCACCACCTCGTGTAATAACATCACGAGTACTGCAACGGTCACATCGATAAATAGTATATAGGGGACAAAGACCAAGTTCCGCGTTGAATACATTGTTGGATAACCAGGTTTCCGTAAGTATAATAATATCATAATTGCAAAGAGAAACATTACGAGTAAACAAATCCAGCTTAGTATTAATACCTCGAATGTTTTGATAGTAGATGGAAAGTTAATTTACAATTGTTGGGCTCGTTGACAGTTTTTGAAATGGTCGGACAGTTATTAACAAATTTAATAAAATGATCAGTTTCATCAGCATCCTTCCGCAATTTAAGTTCAGAGGCAATAGAAGAATACAACTTACGTTGTTGTAACGTTTGGTCTGATGAAATTCTAACAGTTTTAAATTTATTAACATTAAATAGCTGTCTTTTGACTATTAAAATTTGAAAAACATCAGACAGTGAAGGCATAANCATTAAATAGCTGTTTTTTGACTTTTAAAATTTGAAATACATCAGACGGTGAAGGCATAACAATACGGATAGGACGAGGCTTACTTGAAGGCTTACCCAGTCTGTGAATAGACAGAGGTTTGGTAGACACGCCAATAGTATTAAACATTTCGTCAATAAGAGTAGCATCGTTTTGTTGGACAGCACTAGATGTTGAATGATCTTGTACATTAAATAATATAATGTTACGAGCTCTGGATTGTCGGTCCATAAATTCAGAGAATAAATTTTCTTGCCTGATAGAGTTAGTATTTGATTTAGACTTCTCAACTGATGACAGTTTAGACTCAAGTTGCTCAATTATCGATTTCAATGACTTATTTTCCTCAATTACCGAAATAATTTGATTGGACAATAGGTCAAATTTGGAGTCAAAAGAAGCCAGCTTTTTATCTTGTGATTTAATAGATTCACGACATGAATTAATTGATTGTATGATTTTATTTTGTGAGTTTTTTAATTCATTAATCATATCAATAAGTTTGCTAAATTTATCATCCTTAGAAACAAGCGGTGAAGTAGGCGGCATAATAAACGTTAAAAGTTATCGGGAGTTTAAATTAGTTATATATGAACGATAAGACAACCCGATAACAGAGACGCACAACACAACCTAGTAGTACCACGGACTACAGAATACATTATAGAATAATATATTCTATATGAAATATTTTTACAATATGTTCATAAATTAACATCAGAGGCATGAGCATATTAAATACTCAGAAAAAACTTCTTTATTGTTATTATTCGCAGGCCTATTAAGTTAAAAGTCTTTGATTTTTATCAGCGCATTGTATCTTATTATTGTTCTATAAAACTCAAAAGCCTAGTGACACGGCCACGGCGTTGTCACACGTTTGACACCCCGCGGTCGTGTCAGCTTCTTCTCAGCCACCGCTCCACTGTAAACCGGATCGTTACACACACGCGTTATCGCCGTGGTGTAAAGTCCAATAAATGCCTAACGTCGAATACCCGCCGCAATAATACATCGAGTCAGACATCTTCGTGACACCGATACCGACCTTTGTTCTTTTTACCGTCCGTGAATACCATCGGATCACCACTGCAGTTCTTTTCGAGCAGTTTTGACATTCGCCGACGAGAACCATTTTCAACGCTATCATTCAACAATCAGTACTATTTCAGTGTTATTACCTTTCTTTCTTTATTCTTGTTTTTAAATAAATCGGCTCAACGCCATCGTAGAAACTTAATCTTGTGTCGTCTATTCATTCAGCAACTACCCACTAACACTAGATAGTTTTTTATTATACTTAAATTAATATAATATATTATTATATTACTAATAATACAGATCAAAATAAATGTTGAGTATGAATTTTTAATAGAAACTCTTATTACTTGAGATAATGCGTATCCAGTATACGGGCAAAGACCACGCAATATGTATATATATATATATATATTTATAGTTTATATAGATATACAGTAAAATGTAGTACCGTACTGGTCAGTGTTAATACCGGTAAATATGTGTACATGTCTAAATATATATATTTATTAACTTCAAATGCATTTTTGCACAACAAATAATATTTCAGTCCCTCTCTAGTATAGTACGAGTTAACATTCAAAATGTAATCGCAAAAAAAACAACGAACAAAATAAGAAACGAAAGAAATCGAAAGTAAACCACACGGAGCAACCAATTATGATGAACGTCGGAAACGGAACAGAACACATTAGCAGTAATACATATTCGGCGTTGGCATTATCACGGTGTCAAGGACGGGGAAACATCCGATGACAACCAATTGTCATATTAATAGGTGGACGGCTGATTTCGTGAGACAAGGTGAGCGCAAGCCTTGAGTGTAGGGCGGTGCCGTGTGATAGATCACAAATGATGGAATAAAATTTAACTTGAATAACATAAGCATATAAAATAATTAAATAACATATTTAATCACAATTAGTTTTTTTTTAGTCTGTTTTTTGTTTCAAAAATATTAAATATTTTTTATTTTTAATTAATGATCACATATAAATTAAAGACTGTAGCGTTACGCTACAGCTTTAGTGCCGTTTATCAGTTGCAAGAAAGTCAACTGGATAGCGCTGTTTGTAAACATTTATTTAAAAAAATATAATATAATGTATTTTTAATTTAATTATATAGATAATAATGCTTGTATACCCTTTTATGTTAAATATCAGTCCAAACGGGAACTCGCAAATTAAATAAGATATTAAAATGCACATTTATTCATTACAAAATATTAAAAATAAATAAACGATTAATCTATACTACTCAAGTGGTGAAGGGTAGTATAAGATACACCTTCAATTTAACATTCATTATTTACATTTCTTACTTTATTGAATTCTCAGTGTACAATAGTTGTAAAACACTAGAGTTTTCGATATTTATTGCCGACTAGATTACGTGCATATATCGCTTCACCGAGTAAATTCTTTAATTTTTTCTTATATCTCAATATTTTATTTATAGAATTTTCTACAGTGTTTGTAATAACGCCTTACCAACCGTGATCCAAAGGTTTTTATTCCTCCCTTCGCATAATTCAGTTAATCTTCAACGGTGATCATAACTTTCGTGATCAAGATAACTGTCTCCTTGTAAAAGTCCCCTTAACCTATTGGTGTTCGTAACAACGCATTATCAACCGTGATACAAAGGTTATTCTTCTATAACTACTTATAACTAACTACTTAATTTAGGGGAAGATTCCTAAAGTAAGACTATATGATAGTTGTTTAGTATAGACATATTCGTTTTTTTTTAAATAAAACAAAATAAGTTGATTATTTGAACAATTAGCGTTGTGTTTTTGTATTATTGGTAAATTTAAGTTAACAAAAATAAACTTAAAAGAGTACAAACGTAGAAACGATGTGGCCGAGTAGGAAACACAACAAAGTTTGATTGATAATGTCTCTTTTGATAAAAGAGCTATTTTCCGTATCCTGTAAATTCTAGGAACGGCCACAATAAACTGTTACATCAAAACATTTAAAAATAGCTACATATACAGATAAATATTTGATTAAATATAATCAAATTTCATTTAAACTATGTTTTTTATAATTTGTTGCACTTATTTACTGTTTTTTACTTTACACAAGAGACGTCATTTGTTTATTATTACATTTTCAACAAGAACTAATCATAGTTGTGTTTAAAAAATAAATTTAAAAAAGAATTATTTATATTAAATTTAAGTCAAAATGTAATTACTTGATTATGCTCTCTTGCTTGGCTTCAAGATAACTGTAAAAATAGCACATGATAAATAAAGAGTTTAAGTCAATTAATGCTGCAAAAAATAATTTCACTGACATAACTGACAAAACACGGTCATTTTTGAAATAATTCTGCAAATAAATTTCTTATTAATTCATAACAATTAAATGCATAAACCCAGGGCTTGAAACCGTTACGTAAAAAAAGTGAATAGGCCCCGGTAAAAAACGAATTTTACTTAAAATTTGTAACCGATATAAGTATATAACTACTAGTTTGGTAAAAAGCGGTTAAAAATTATAACTTTTTTAGAAAAATAAAAAAAAACCCACATAAAATAAGAATTTTAATTTTTTGTGATTTTCTCATTGGTGGTGTCTGGTTAGCCAAGATCAATCTTTGACTTCCTAACATTTGAAAGAGAGTCACTACCCTCTGTAAATAGATTCTGTTCTGGAAATAGAAGGATGTATAACTGATCATTAAATAATGATAGAAATATAGAATTCGTTTTTATACTGAACTACGCAAAAAAATTATATCACTAAGTTGTAAGATTTTTTAATAATGTAAAACCAAAATATACTTTGCTAAACCAAATTTTGATTTTATATCCACAATTAGATTTTTTCCATCGCCTCTAATTTATGAGATTATTACTAATAAGTAAAAAACAAGTATAAACATATAAAAAAAATATAGGTTAAAATAAAATTTAACAGACATCAGCGAGAGGAAAATCATAGATGAAACTAGGCATGGAATATTTCTGAATATTACTATATTAAGAATACTATAGGATATAATTATACAGAATATAATTCTTAATATTTCAATTGTATTATCTATTTGTTTTACTGTTTCCAAACCCCCCCCCCTACCGCTAAAATAAAAAAATTATATCAAACGAAACTAAAATACATAAACTATTTATTTAAAAAAAATTCTTTTGATTGATTCAAAAATTTTAACTTTTTAAAGAAAAAAAAGTTAAAAAATAACACACTATACCTATTTTAAAATTGTTTTTTGAAATAGTTTGTTTCAAATTTGTTTAAAATTAAAGGTTTTTCGGGGATTTACCTATTTATAGAGAACGAGGGATACATTTTCAATGTTTAAAATAAATATCTTCAACAAGATATGATTTATGATTCTTGATGTATCATTTAAAGAAATCGGTCCGGTAAGAGCTGAAAAATGTGACAAAAGACATAAAAAAAGAAAAAAAGACATCATAGTAAAATTAATACCTTTTTCAGTTTCATATCGATACTAAAAAAATTGATTTTAATCGATTTCAAACCCTACAAAAATCACATAATCGGTAAAGCTTTCAAATACATACCAGAATAAACATATATGTTAGACCAATAAACACATTGAAACTATATCCAAAGCTATACATTGTCATCGGTTTCATTATTTCATAAAATTTCTTAATTGAACTAATAATAATAATTCAAAATGTAACACCTAATTATTAATGGGATTATCTACCATGTTATGAATAACATTTTAAAATGCTTTAGAATACAATAAGAATATTTATTTAATAAGTTTGAGAGTTAATTATTGTACCAAAATGTGAGAAATATTCATAACATGTTATAATAACGAATGTTAGATTTCAACAATATATAAAAATATAATTATTTATAAAATTACAATAATCTAGTCACAATGTAATAACAAATTTAAAAGCTTTTAATCAACTTACACATTTAACTTTGTATGGTCCGAAAGTAATTGTTTCAAATTAATCGTGTAATTAATATCATTTCTCTGTCCTATTTAAAAAATAAGTAAACATTATAGCGATAAAAATATTTTCTTTTCCTTCAGTGTTATTAACAAATGTTGATAAAATAAAACATAATTATAAACATTTTACCAAATTCATTATTCTTGCATTCAAACGATTTGCATCTAAAGGCAATAATATTCAATTGAGCAGATAACATCCAACAAAATTTCATAACTATTGTATTGTAGATAATTAAATCAAAAATAATATGTATTAATTCAATAGCTTCATATACAAATACAATAGGGTAAATTTGATCATAAATCGAAATTGGTATAAAACTTAAAAGTGAATTTACGACATTGTTTCGATAAATTACCAGACTGCCATCTCTTTTTTTTAAAGGATATTTTTTTACAAACAATGGATTAAGTATCCAAACTAACCCCCCCGAAATATTTATAAAAATATATATGTTTGTTATTTTAGTACAAACAGATTTGTAGCGTTCAAATATATATTTTCCTTTATGACTAGAAGACAAGAAATCGCCACTCGTTGCATCGAATAATTTTCTTAATTCATCATATTTTGTGGAAAGTCTATAAGTATTGACAAATATTTGAATAGAGCACATTACTTTTATACATAATTGCATAACTGAAAAAAAATCGTTTATCACATAGTAAAAACCAATGAACACATAGCAATTGACTACAATAAATTCAACTAGCAATAATAGAGCATAGAGAAATTGGTATAAATTGAAACTACGAATTACATCCAGATTGAAAGGGTTAAAATTACGATAAAGACTTAGAAATCTTAATGTTTGATCACTTAGAACAATCTTCTCTCGAATTTTAGTTTGCATTTTACTTCCGAGTTTTGTATTCTGCACTTATATAGGTAATTGTGCCTAAAAAAATGAATAAATATTTAGATAAATTATATTTATATCAAATAATATATACTGTTTTTTCTTTTACTAAATGAATTGATTAATTGGTATATAACTTACTCTCATAAAACATTTTTTATTTCATTTGGACTGTACAGGATAATTAATTTACTATGTTTTATGCAAAATTTAAAAGTATAACACTTTTTTAGTTTTTTTTTCTCAGGAGTTAATAGTATCCTATATTCTATAATTTTCAACAAAAAAACTGATTCATTCTCCCTTCACACCCCTTTATGTTAGTATAAACTTTAGAACCCATTTTTTCAAAATTTTTATAACTATTACACTATGACATTGTTGCTTACGCAGTCATATGGTGTATTTGTTGTAACCACCTTATCAATCAAAATTGAAATATCGAAAATAAAAAATAACTGGACGAGTTCCCCTTAAATAGGGAGTATTTGTCAAGCAATTACATTTTTTAAAATCAGTAATTTTCAAAAATGTTTAACTGTTTTCATTTAAAACTGTTCTAATATTTATAAAATAAATTAATCAAAATTTTTTTTTTCTATAATGACCTTAGGTAATTCTTTTTTTTTTTTTGTATAATATTTTGAAAATTTGCCCACAGAAAAGGATTTGGGATATTATGATTTCTTCCAAATCTATCTACCTATCTACTAAAAAATTCGAGAACCATTTAACTTTATCCATGGGTCATCACAAAACAGTTGCGGTTTTAGCATACAGGCAATGTGGGCAGCTCTCCGTACCAAAATTTTTGATATTTATTTATTAAAAAGTTCAATATTATGTTTAGGTCTCTATTTAAGATTTTTAAATACCAATTTTATTGTTAACTGGTTTAATAATGCTGATTCTACTGACTAGATGTGAGCTCAATTTAAATTCTTTAAACAATAGATTACACTATATCCTATACTTTGAAGACCGACACTATATTCTTTCGGAAAACAACAGAGGTCAGACTGGCTGTTCGATTAGTGGAGATACATATTGGAGAACGCTTATAGTTATATAAAACTCTGATTGTGATATCATTGTGCTAGTACTCTGTTCAGCTAGGTTACGACCCATTATAAGTAATACAGACAATGCAATCTAATCATGTATTTATTTATAATGTTTAAGGTGTATTCAAGAGACGAATTTGAAGACTAATGAACGTCCAATACTCTCAATCCTTTATACATTATATTCTATTATCCGTACTAACTGCAACAAAGGAAGTGGTTGTGTTGCTATATTAATAAAATAAATGTATGATAGCTAGCAAACACTCATCAATTCAAATTTTGAATTTATAGCAATATCCATTACAATGGAAAAAACATTTACTATTTGTAACATATATATTCCTAACCAAACCAGTTTTTCAGCATCTGATCTAAGACAAATTATTAACCTACTCCTTCAACCATTTTTACTAACGGGAGACTTCAACGGTCATGGCACCTCATAAGACTCCGACTCCACTGACAATAGAGGTCGAATTATAGAGTCGCTACTAGAAGATAGCAATATTTCTCTACTTAATAACAGCGATTACACAATATTGAACCCCTCAAATGGTACCTTTTCAGCCATAGATATCACGCTTTGCAGCATTTCTCTTACACAGCAAACTGAATGGTCAGCACTTCCAGAGATTTATAGTAATGATCATCTTCCCATTAATATTAAAATATATTCCAAGTTGGACTTAAACAACTATAACTCACCTATATGGAATCTCAAGTCTCCTGTTTGGAGTCTATTATCGTTGCTTGTAGAAAACAATCTTGATCAAATCTAAAACTATCACAGTTTACCAATAAATGACAAAACCTCAAGTATTACAGATGCTATTACTAATGCAAAAAATATAGCAATAAACAAAACTAAAGTTAGAGCCGGGGAAAAACAAGTACCTTGTTGGAACTCTGAAATTAAACAAACTATAAAAACGAAAAATTAAGCACTTATAAAATTTCAAACTTCACACAATATAAATTTTACATTGAACTCAAAAAATGCAGAGCTAAGGCATGTTATTTAGTAAATACAGCCAAAAATAATCCTGGAGGCATTTTATATTATGTATGACAGTACAAACTGACACAAGATCAATATGGAACAAAGTTCATATACTAAAAGGAAAAAGTAACAGCAAGACTTATATTAGAGGTAGGAATACTGATTACAGACTCCAGAACAGTTGCAAACAAAATTAGTGAATACTTCAGCAGAGTAAGAAATGATGAATGTTCTAAACCTGAATTTTTAAATAACAATATACACAACAGATATACTAACCCTCATTCAATCATCAATCCTCAAGATTCGAACCATATCCATATTAACTCGAAACTTACCACAAAAGAATTTTATTGGGCATTAAAAAACTGTAATAGCCTCAGCAATGGTATAGATGATAAACCGTTTTCTTTTATTCATAATATGACATCTAAGTCACAACAGTTTTTGTTAGATTTTTACAATGAAATATAGAGATTAAATCCTTCAAACTTGAAACAAAATATGGTAATTCCAGTACCGAAACCGGGAAAAACATATTCGATACCCAAAGTTATCGTCCTATCTAACTTATTAGCAATTTAAGTATACTTCTACTGCTGTATGAATGATAAGTTTGGACATAATAAAAGCCTGCGATACAACCTAGAAATCCAAAATAGTAAATATACTATTTACATTTCTATACAATGGAAACATGCTCAAATACTTAGCTAATTTTTTATGTAATTTCACATTTCAAACAAAAATCAATAATAAACTTTCATCTACCTTTTATCAAGAAAATAAAATTCCCCAAGAATCTAATATTTCAGTCACACTTTTCCTCATATCCATCAATGATATATCAAAAACAAAATATCCAGTAAATTCAATAATATATGCTGATGACGTAAATATCTTCTGCTCAGGTAAGAGTTTGACAAACATTCAACATCCTTCTAAGACACCATAAATAAGCTAGAAGAATAGTCTAAGATATCTGGGTTCTCCTTTTCTGCAACTAAATCCAAATGTATCTTATTTACAAAAAAAATAAAATATAACCAATTTCATATTAATCTCTGAAACACCCAAATTCCTAACTGTAAAGTAATAATAACCTTGGGAATTGCATTCGATCACAAATGCAGATGGAAACAACATGTGAGTAATCTAAAAAAAGAATCTGTAACTAAATTCAACCAAATCAAATCTATTGCACATGCTCAATGGGGAGCTTTGTCGGAAACACTACTTACCATTTATAAATCACTAATTCTTTTTAAATTGGAGTATGGATCCTTTGTCTTCTGCAATACCTCCTCTAATACAGTCAATTCACTTGACACAATACAGAATGCTGGCATACGTTATGCTCTAGGAGGAATCAAATCAAGCCCTATAGTAAATATATGTAAAACATCAAATTTCCTCAAGGCTGCCGAACTATTTGATTTAATATAATATCTGTGTAACTTATATGCTAGTGGCCATTTTATTCACTCTGATTGTTAACCAAATCTAATTATTTAAATAGCTATTTTATTGTGTATACACTTGATATACATGTAATCATTGCCAATGACCTTTGTTTCTGTGGCCTTTATTTTAATTAAAAACAAAAAAAAATACGTAAATAAAATATATCATATAATACCTTTAACTAAATTACTAAATATGAGATTGATGATACATTTTTATTCAGTCAATTAAACTTCAAAATCAATACTACACTCGCCACATTCATTTATTTTATATTCCTCCTAATTTTTCTAAAAAGTATATGTCTAATAACAATTAATGTCAATTAATATTTTAATGTTTTCTGGACATTGTTAATTATACGAATATATGGTGAATTGGACATTATTCGTATGAATTATTAAATAAATAAATGTAATTCTGTAAACAAATTTCTTGTTATTTCGGTGAAATTACTACATGTCAATCACTAAATTACTTATTTTTTAATATATTACCAAAATACACAAATATATCATAGCATTTTAGCATTGAAACTGTATCCCTAGATAATTATTATCATTTTCATTATTTCATAAAATTTACCGATTGAACTTATAAAAATAATATAAATAATTAACTCTACTCTTATAAATAATAAGAGATTTGGTAGACTATAAGTTATAATCTACCATGTTATGACTAACATTTATAAAAAAAAAAACACACGAATGGATATAATGCCAGATTAAGATTTATCTTAAAAGAATTTATGAAAAAATTAAGAAATTAAAAAAATGATTATTTATATTAAATATATGTTTATACAGCCTAGTAAAATTCAAAATGGCCCTTAAAGTTCTCAATTCTCCACCCCAAATCCGTCGTTGAAATACTATAGAAGACATTTCAATAAGTAAAATATTTACACCAAGATGATAAAAATGAATGTTTGATTCTAAAATCATATAAAAAAAATTTAATTAACTTACACGTTTTACTTTGATAAATCCAGAAATATTTGATTCAAATTTTTCATGTAATTAATGTCGTTTCCTGACCTATTTGAAAAATAAGAAATACATTTAAAATATTGCTGACGTAAAAAGAATCATGTTTTCCTTCTGTGTTACTTTTCAATGAATTCAGCGTAATAATTTGCTATACAAGTTCAATTTTCAAATTAATCCAAACACCTCAAATTCGGTTCGGTTCGATTTAAAAATCAAACAGTTCGAACATCACTACATAAAATTTTATTAATAAACTTTTATGTAGTAATGAACAAACCAAATTCGATTTGTTTTAAAAGTATGAGTTTGATGTGGAACGTATCCATTACAGTGGACTATATTTTACAGGGTTTTCAATAAGTAAGGTAGTGAAATACCACTGTTTTCATTGTTAGTAACAATTGACTTTTTTTCTTACTTTTTGAAAGCCTATAAAGAAGTTAAATAGATTAAAAATTATTATCAATATAACTGAGTATATAAACTATAAAAATATGAGAAGTATCCTAAAAAGACAATATTTAATCAATAGAAAAAATTATTTACAATTACTTGAATATTTACATTTAAATATATTAATATAATTACAGTCTACAGGTAGTAGTTAAATAGTAATTATTACTTAATTACTGGTTATAGTTTAAAAATATTATAAAAGAAAATAAGGTGTATTTAAAACAGAAATGACCACTAATTTCCTTTGTCGAGGAAATTATTCTCATTCAACAACACAGGAATTCAAAAGAAAATTTCATAGTATTTATTTAATATTATGATATACTACAAATTTAATATAGTATTATTAAACTTGTCAATGATATACCTTACTTTAAATTATAACCTGTTATATCGTTAAAAATTTATCAATAATAAAGTAATACATTAAATATTAATTTCTCTGATTTATTCATCTTATTTCAAGCTTTTTCGTAAGATACTATTAACTTTTGAAAAGAAAATAATTATAATATTTTTTTAAACTTTTAATGATATTGCGTGGGTAATAGTTAATCAATTTACTCTCTATTTTATACAGTGTTAAATATGTAAGGTAAAGGGTTTTTACTTTTTTATTTTTTGGTATCCATTATCTTATTTTATTACATTTTAAACATTATACATAAATTTTTATAAAATATCTATTCTTCTATAGAATTAAATATATTTAAACATTTTTAATTGTGTAAAAAAAATACTAAAATATGTGAAGTATTCCAAATGACACTTATTTAGACATAACATTATACATTTTTTGTATACTAAAAATTATTATTTGGAAAAATTTAATTTTAAAAATTACGATAACTTAAACATTTACCTTTAAAAATATCACTACTTTATTACTGGCTATATACAGAAAATATTATTAAAGAAAATATAATAAATTTTCCTTTATTTTATAATTAGTGTAAATACATACCGTGATTATAAAAAAAAATCAGAAATAACCACTATTTTCCTGTGTTGAGAAAATAATCATCATTTAACTACCTAGGAATTCAAAAATGAATATCATAGTATTTACTAAAAATGTTGATAAACTATAAATTGAAATAAATATAGTGCTGTTAAACTTTTGAATAATATTCTTTGCCTTATAATTGTAGTCTGTTACATAATTAATAATTCATCAGAAAATAGAATAGAAATCAAATATAAAATATTAATTTCTCCGTTTGTTTTTTATTATTTCAAGTTTTTTTATAAGACACTATTAGCTTTAAAAAAAAAAATTATTTTTTATACTTTTAAAATATTGCGTGAAGCATAATTTTCATTAATACTGAAAATAAGGTACATTTACTCTCTTTTATTATTCATGTAAATACATGCCGTGACCAAACAAAAATGACTACATATCGAAAAAGAGTTTGTCATTTAACTACTCATGAATTCAAAAGAGACCCTCATAGTATTTATTTAAATTTTTAAGACATACTGTAAAAATTGTATTTAAATAACCTGGATATTATTATTTAAAATATTATGATATACTATAAATTGAATATAATATTATTAGACTTGCAAATAATATCTCTTGCCTTAAAATATAATCTGTTACATCGTTAAAAATTCACCAATAAATAGAACGATACATTAAATATTAATTTCTCTACTTGTTTTATCTTATTTTAAGGTTTCCCATAAGATACTATTATCTTTTGAAAGAAAAAGTGAATATAGTTTTATTAGACTTGTGAATAATATCAATCTTATATAATAGCCTGTTAATAATTCATCAATAAATAAAATAAAAACAGAAATTACTACTATTTCCTAATTAGATCATATTTTATTTTATAAACCAGTTAAATATGTGTTTCCATTGAAAAAATATAGTTGACACTTCTTATAAGACATAAATGATGAACATAAAAAATATTATATTTCGGTTAAACAGAGATATATTTGTAACTAACATAGCCAAAAATCGAATTTGCTAAAAATTTATTATTTAAGGAAAAATGTAGTAACTAGCGTTAAATAATCACTCTGAAAAAGATAAGTCGTCAGGACAATTTCTTTTTTAACTATATTACGTAACATAATTTTAAAGTTTGGAGTATTTTCGGAATATTTTCATAGTTAAATTGAAAAAGTTTAATTTTTGTGCAAAAGTTGGTATTTTAAATCTCACCCCGTGGGCAGGTAAAAAGTCATATTTTCAAAAGATTTATACCAAATGTAAGGAGAATTCCTAAGGTATTTATTAAAAAAACTAATTTTATTCGTTCATTTTAAAAAGTAATGGTAATTTTAAAGAAAAAAAAGTTTTAAAAATGTCAAAATTTACCGATTTTAAAAATTGTAATTTATTTGGGGATTTCTTCCATTTAAAGGGAAACAAGAATAATATTCTCAATTTCTAAAATTTTAAAAATAATTTCGATTCGAAGCTGAGGAGGTATTAATTTTACCGTGATATGTTTATTGTTTTAACATTTTATACATTTCCTCTAAGGTATTTTTAATTAATTTTTACAGAATTCCCTGATATACAATTGTACTAAATTTAGGTTTTATTGTTAGTTTATTAATATATTAGTTGTATAATTGCTTGAATTATCTACCTGTCAACTTTACTAATATACAATGATTACTATATGCGCTTGAACATAACTTAATAATTGTTTTTCTCTAAATAGTTATTGAATATAATTCAAGAATTCGTATCTACAAACATTTCAACAGAAACTTCCTATGCTTAACGGTTACCATAAACTGACACAGCCATTTACATTTGATTAAGTTATAAAGTTCTAATTTCTAGTAGACCAAATCTAATTCAAATCTTAATTGTTTCGAATACAGACCCATTGTTTATATTCATCCTTCTAATATCTAAAACTAATCTACACAAAATAGATGCATTTAATTCAATATTATATAAATATTTTTTTTAATTAATAAAAGTATTTTATTTTTAATAAATGAAATGTGATATTGTTATTTTATAAAGTAGTTAAATACCTTGTTATTTAAATATGTTACTTTTTGGTGATAACCTAATTTTTATCATAAAATTCTTCTATTGATTTAAATCTTAATAAATGTTTACCTTCATCTTTCAGTAGTGACTTGTTGCATTCGATTGTACATAAGTTATAATCTTAGAATTATTATAATACATACACCATTCATTAATCAGTAGTCTATAAATCACTGTCTTTTAGTCATCAAATTAAATATACATTATTCATGTCAATCTTATAAACTATTCCGAGAAATATGTATAAAAATGCATTTATTCAAATCTAATGCAATTCCTATAAGGAATTCTTTGGTTGTGACAAATCATCTATTTTAAGTAAAATGATATGTAATAACTACACAATCGAGTAATAAAACAAATAATAGTAAAATGTCGTTATACTTCTTGCACATATATAGATGGATTAAATTTAATATAAAAGGCATAAAAACTAACAATTCGACTCGCTGCTCCATGACTCTATGAACCTTTATCGAGTGTAAGAAGTGGCTTGGCAAATTTTATAATTTCAAAAAAAATCGAAACATGTTTATTTCAACCTTATTTTCAACATTACTAAGATAAACTCAATTTCACATAAGATTTATAAAGTTTAAAATTAAGTATAATGAGTACATGAATTATGTAGGGAACCAGATATTAAGTGATCTTTATAATAAAATATTAAATATTAAATAATTAAATTTTAAATAAATTAAAAAATCGATAACGTCTGTACGAAATTAACTAGTCTAGTCCAGTCTTTGAGAGGGTTACCTGTGTAGTCAATACAAATAAAGACTTTCTTGCAAAGATAGAGAACCCACTTGTAGTTTTATACTACTCGAGGTTTTATTGACACAACTCACAGTCAGCACAAGCATAGATAACTAATGGTATGAAAGGCGTTATTGATAATTTTTGTGATAATTAATCACAATAATTTCAATTTCAAATTATTATTATGATAATAAATTTTCAAACACCACTTTGTTTTTCTATATTTTACATATTCTCATAAAACCCTCGTACTCATTCTCGAGAAAAAATTATATCATATCGTTTTATTCAATAAATACATAGTAACTCAATTGTTCTCATGCTCAAGCACATAACCAACTTATAACTAATCTTATTATATCATTTTAATCATAGTAATTATATAGAAAACTACAATTTTACATTCATTATTTTGAGTTACTATAGAATGTGTAGGGATTAACAAANGTGATAATTAATCACAATAATTTCAATTTCAAATTATTATTATGATAATAAATTTTCAAACACCACTTTGTTTTTCTATATTTTACATATTCTCATAAAACCCTCGTACTCATTCTCGAGAAAAAATTATATCATATCGTTTTATTCAATAAATACATAGTAACTCAATTGTTCTCATGCTCAAGCACATAACCAACTTATAACTAATTTTATTATATCATTTTAATCATAGTAATTATATAGAAAACTACCATTTTACATTCATTATTTTGAGTTACTATAGAATGTAATAGTATTCAAAAACTAAAAATTTTAACTATAATTTAGAAATCTATTGTTACTTAAGAGAATTGTTTTACTCTAAACAGCACAGTTTTAGAAAAAGGTTTTGTTCATTTTCGGATCTTATCATTTCCTCTTACGATGCAGTAGACCCGAACTAGCGTGCTTACACTAATCCTGATACACATGAGAAACATATTATTGCCCCTGAGACAAAACCCAACAAAATTTACTCTGTGTTCAGTTTTATTCGGAAATGAAGACCACGTTAACATAAGTCCAGCTGGCGTTATATTCTTTTATATTTGTCCTATTTCATTAAACGTTTCATTTTATATACACCCCAGATGGGGTTTATTGTAATTATTATTATTATCACATTAAAATTTAAGTGCAAAATAACTTAAAAATTTAATTTTAACGTTTTTTTAACTTCAATTCGAAGGTGAGAAGATATTAATTTTACCATGATGTGTTTATTCTTTATTTATTTATTTATTTGTTTGTGTCTGCCACCACTTAATCTTAAATCTCAATAGAAGCATTTTTTTCAATAATACGTCAGTATATCACATATTATATCTAGCCAAAGACATTACCCTTAAAAATTGAAAGTTTTTTCAAAAAAATTATTATTTTTAAATTAGTAAATTTTGACATTATTAAAACTTTTTTTACATAAAACAGTCATAACTTATAAACAAATTATCCGACACATTTTTTATCGTACCTTTGAAATTTTCCATTTCAAACATAAAATTATAAATACCAAATTAAATGTTCTAACTTATTAGTTAATGTTATTTTAAACATAATTAAATAATTATTATTTTATGTATGACAAACTAGGTTTATAGAATTATAATATATGCATCAGACCTGACAAATACTTATATTTTCAATATCACTATTTGTTTTTAGTTTCAATGCTAAAATAATTCAAAACTTAATAAAATTTTAAGTTAGCATTTTTTACTTTTATTAGTTAATAATAAAAGATTAAAATAATAAAATTGAAAGGTGTTGAATAATAGTTAGAGATTCTTTCATACAGTTTGTGATTCGAAGGCCATAAAATAATATAAGTATTTAAATTTACTATTATTAAATTGAAATCTTNTTTTTTGATAGTGATTTTAATCACTGTCAGATATCATTATACTTGATCCAACTATGCCACGTCACCACTGTGCCGCGACCCCCCTGTGCTGGGTTTTTTTTTACTTTTATTAGTTAATAATAAAAGATTAAAATAATAAAATTGAAAGGTGTTGAATAATAGTTAGAGATTCTTTCATACAGTTTGTGATTCGAAGGCCATAAAATAATATAAGTATTTAAATTTACTATTATTAAATTGAAATCTTACTTGATAATTTGTCTTTGTTCTTAGAATAACTTCAGTGGCAGTATTAAGTAATAACTGATAAATAAAATAACAAAAAATTAACATTTAGTTCACAATTTAAACACTTAAGAATTCCGTTAATTATGATCACAATTTTATAATATGATTAAACAGTATTTGTTTGTTAAATATTTTTCTAAGTTGTTTATTTAATTTTTTGGTTGAAAAGAATCATGTTCCTCTAAGAACATGAATATAATGTACAAATAGATGTGTTAAATATCTTAAACGAAAAGGTTAATTAAAAGACCATAATTGTGAACTCAAACTGATTAGCATACTGTTATCTCATATTATGATAGTAACTAGTGTAGGGATTAACAAAGATGTTAAATAACATGTCACAATGAATGCTTTTATATATGTTTATATGTTTTATCTTAGATGTACTGCAGTACATAATACTCCGTGTATTATTTTTAGTATCGCGCTGTTCGTCAATCCAGTGACACTTTTTATTTTGTACTTTTTTTTATGTATGTATAAATCATATTTCATTATTAAAAATTATTAATTATTATAAATTTTAATTGTAGTATTTTTGTAATAAATATAAACACCAAAACACTACACTAGTATATTACGACAATTCAAAGCCGAAATTATATTAATTTTACTATAATGTGTTTAATTATTTTATTCATTTTTTGGATCTTTCGTCACTTTCTCAGCTGTTACTAGACGGATTTTTTTCAATACTACGTCAAAAGATCACAAATTGTATTAGGTTATTCTTAAAAATTAAAAAGTTTCCATCGTTTTCCGTAAATTACTGAATTTCCTTCAAAATTAAAATGTTATAAATATATAATTTTTGAAATTATAACTACGATGGGAAAAAGAGAAGATTTTTTTAATTTAAAATTGTTATAACTTTTTAAAAAATGGATGAATCAAAATAATTTTTCTTTTTAGAAATACCTTAGATGTTTCCCTATCACTAAGAATATATATATTTATATTTCTTAATATTAAACCCTATCTGCCCACAGTTCAGATTCAAAATAAGAACTTTTGTATTAGTAAAAATTTTCAATTTAACTTTTAAAAATATTCCGGAGTTACTCCCACCTTCAAATATTTATTTAATTAAAGCTCATTGTACATATTACTAATTTAAAAAAAATCTTTCCAAAGACATTTCTTTTATATGTAGATACCCCAAAATTAGATAAAAACTATTTTATTTTATTTTATTTTTTGTGTATTAATCACTGTTTCTCGAGTTTTATAGTTTTTTAATTAATTTTTTTTTTTTGATTCGATGCAAAGTTAAAAAATTATTTCAATTATTAATGGTTCTATTTAGGTTAGACAATATAGGCAAAGGAAAGGGGGTATATACCCCATTTAAACTCCAACCCTTTTACAAAAGAAAATTATAATAAGTGTAAATTATAAATATTTTCAAAAAGTATTTTTGTAGTTCTTTTTCCTTTTTCATTTATTCAAGTAGTTATATAATACTATTATAATATTAGAAAGGTAATATACATTAATAAATTGTTAAATATATTTATATCTTTCTATTTCCTCACTTTAATCCCAACTACTTGGTGTCGGCCACCCTTATTATAAACTTCCTCTTGACACGATCTCTCATATCAACTATACTCACATCTGCTGTCCTTATATCGCATTCAATTACATCCTTATATCTCTATTTTTGGTCATCCTCTACCTCTTCTTTCTTCAAATTCAATTCTATAACTAAATATATTATTAAATATATTTATATATATGCCCAAAATAGAAAATTATAAGATTTGGTCTCAAATTTTAATAAAAATTCCAGTTTAAAATGTTGTTCAGACTTAATTTAGGCAATATTTTTAATGTCTTTAATTATACAGTAACTGAAATTGTAATTAACTATTATTAATATGACACTATTACATTATGCAATATTTGTGTTTTAAATTAAATTTACACAGTATATTTTATTTTATTTATAAAGTATGATTAAGAAGACGTATAGTTAATTTATCAAGTCATTTGTGAGATACCATAAAATAGTTACTCATTTTTTTAAACCAACATAACTTCAACTAGTTAGAAAAAAACATTAGCAAAAATCATAAAATAAGTATTTATTCGTGTATTATACTTATAAATCAAAGAACTACTAATCAGAATATAATTAACAAAATAGGAGTTGATGTTGCTTTAGAAATAATCTACCAATTTCTTAGAATTAAATATATCTATAGATTTGCATTGAAACGTTTTTTATGATAAAATCACTATCAGATATCATTTATACTTGTCCCAAATATGCTACATCCCCAGTGTCACGATTCCCCCTAACAACCATTTTTTATATTACATATATTTTTCAAAACTAAATGACACTCTATTATTGGGTTAAAATTTTGGATTATACATTTTTAACTTAAAAATACTATAACTTTTTGAAAAATGTATGTACAATACAATGTTTTTATGAGAAATAATATTTATAAACTTCTTTTATTCGACATACTTTTTTTTTTAAATCAGTCCGATTAATTAAATGGTCCATTTCCCTTAATACAAGAGGGGTTTAAAACTTAAAAATGCATATAGAAAGTAGAACTTTTTCAACTTAATTTTTGATAGTATTCCGAAAATACTGAAACTTTTATATATATATATATATATATATTAAATTAAAGCTTATGTAATATATTTTATAATGAAAAAAAAAAATTCGGACTTTATTTTGTTTTCATGGTGAAAACAGTTATCAAACTTCATAAAAAAAATACAATTTTTGTAAAAAAATTCTTTTTCATATTTTTAACTTTATTATGCTATAACTTTTTGAAAAATGTATGGATCAATATAATTTTTTTTTTTTTAGATGCATGTTGTCTTTACCTATCATTTAGTAATTATTTTTTTTATAAATCTGACCCTTCACCTGCCCACAGAGGGGGATTTAAAATGACAACTTTTTTAACTTAAATTTTGAAAGTGTTCCGGAACTGACACTTTATAATATTACTTTTAAAATTAAAAATAAACATTTTCACAAAACTATATCTTCCATTTGTAAACCGAAGTTTAAAATTTTTTTTTTGGTATAAAAAATCACTGTTATATAATTTTTTATTCCTTTTTTTTTTTTAGTTTTTTATGTTTATTATTTAGATTAAGTGGTATGTTATATGATTGGGAGGGGTGTAATCACTTATATAACCCTCCCATCATTACAAAAAATAATTTAAGTGTTAGTTATAAATACTTACAGCTTTTAATACCAGTCCAATAGGTATATTAATAGAAACGGGTTTGTTTTCCAAAAAAAAAGTTCTAGCAAACAAGGTAACGAAAAAGTGATTCTTTTAATTGCCACTATAATCCACTCTATTTCTATTATAATAAGAAAATCTCTATGGTATTTTTTAATTTCATATAATTCTGTATTTATCAATTATAACTATTTTATTAGCCGAATATCTTATACCTTATAAGGGTGTCAATTTTATTTTTCTAAATAGCAATAACCATATTTCACTAGCTAAAAAATAAAAAAAAATCTAATAATTAAGAAAATGTGCATGTGAAGTGTGGGTTATGTTATTTTTATCATTAAACTAACACGGTCTTTCTCCATTTAATGTTTAAAAATGTTAATCATTTTTTTCATTTTTTTATTCATTCGATCATTTTTTATTGTATTAAGAAGCTAAATGTGAATATTGTAATTTAAAATTCAAGAAATATATTATATTAAAAAATAACGAAAATAATTTTCTTAATAAATTAATATCTCAAGAGAAATCAAGTGGATAATATTTTAAAGAATCCTATATACAACAACTTATAACTTTACCGTAAAAATAACAATGATAAGTCGTGAAATATCAATTACATACTAAGTTTAATTATTGTAGTAAGTATATATTCATGTATTAAACTTGAAACTTTAAGAAAATTGATAAAATGAGGATATAAATTAGGAAATAGGAATTTCATGTTGCTTTTGAAATAATTCAACACTTAAAATCACTCTAAAAATCAAATACTATCTACAGATTTGCAAGGAAACGTTTTTTATAACAGTGATTTTAATCACTAGACAGATATTATCTTTACTTATCCCAACTATACCGCAACTCCAATGTGTTGGGTTTTTTTAACTTATGCTTGTACATTCAATTTTTATTAACACAAACAGTTATTTGAATAAAACAAACTAAAGAAGGAAATTTTTTTTCATGTTATCAAAGAAAAAAAAGAATTATTATTTAAGAAAAGTCAAGTTAGTTTTTATTTTTGTAACGATGAAAAAAAAATTATTTAACTAGATACCATTCTAGAGTTAACTGAACTAAATAATTTTTATTTTTACAATAATTTAATATTTTCAACAATTTCTGAGAAAAAGAGTGTCCAAAATCGATCATCCTTTATATCAATGACTCTATTAATACTTTATCTATAAACCTAATACAACGCCTTTTTGTTAATTCTGTTTAAAGGTTTCATTTATACTAATTGTAAGAACACTTATAACTATGATTTTACCACATATTATAGGCGTTTTATTTCCATTTACTTAAATAGCGTTACATATTAATTAGCATAGAGGAAGATGCTGATGTGACAATTCTACTCGTCTGTAGCCTGGAGCTACTGACGTCGAACTAACAAAGGGCAATAGTATTTGAGTACCGTTATAGACGTAGTTTCAATGCTATTATTTTCGTCTTATTTATATTATTTATAACTTAACTTGTTTTATTCAAATACTCGTCTATCTAAAAATAGATTTTATAACATTAAATGCATCATAAGAGGTAAAATTATAGCTCATCAAAAAGTACTACCTAGGGTGTTATCGCTCTGTTGTTTATTATCATTATGTATGTATATTATTTTATTTCAAAGATTTAAAAATAGATACATCATTTTCGCAGTACTTCACTTCCTCTATTATGAAAATGTGTAATCGAGATTTTTTCATCTACTAAACCATATTTTAGTAAGTACAATGGTCACTATATACCATTGTTATATTGTGTAAAAACATTTTGCTTTCACAAAAGCAAAACGAATTTCTTTATCACTAACCTAAACTTAATTTAAAATTTAGTATAATCAAACCTTTCATTTTTACGGTTAAGTTAGTTATACAGATTAAACATTTCTATAAATGCATCGCAGTGGTAAATTTAATAAAATATTTATGTTATCTAAACGTAGAGTTTCTGAATACTTAATTTTGTCAATATTTATTTAACTGAAAAATACTTTTTCAATAAAAAATATCTTATTCCAGCTGCCAGCGAATAAAATCGCCTAGGATAATCTCTGGTTGGAAATTTACTTTAATATACGACATACATGCAAGTCGTCTGTTGAACGCTTGCGCTTCGGTCCTTTCGCAGTTTAAATTGACGATCCTACTGGGAGATCAGCAGTACAATCTCTGCCGTTTTACTCGTATGTTTATCGTCTAACACTCTTAAGTCGGGAACATAACGAGTTGTGGAAATAATATTACGTAAGTACATAAATGTAAAATATTTTCGCTATATCATAATATTAAAATAACTTAAAGAAATAATTATTAATGTATGCAAATACATATGTGGATTTTTAAATATATTAAAAATAAATATATATAAATACCATAAAACTTCTAACTAATCATTGGGTATAATTTATAAGAATAATATAAATAAATATTATTAAAATATTATGTACCTATAAAACTAACTTACTATTAAATTTAACGTATCTTTTATAAAGTTAATGTGTTTTTGTAGACATACTTCTACACATATATAACACTTAGTAAGTAACTGAAAGTGAGTTTTGTCTATACTATTATAACTATCTGTTTTACTTAATTTTTTGGAAGTAATATTTGAATTATTAATAATTGAAAACTGTTTTTACAATAATTTATTTTAAATATTTAGTATAACTAAAATATTGATTTATCAAATGTTTTCAAAATAAAAAAAAATTGAAATACTAAAAATTGTAAATAAGTATTATAAATAATTTATACAAGAAATTACGACTTTAGACAGCAAAATTGTACTGAGTTTAATGACAAAAACAAATGTCTGTATTTCAACATTTATTTTATCAGTTAGACACAAAAGAAAAACCGGTAATAAAATATTATTCAATTGAAAAGTATTTTATTTTCTTCATGAGATACATAAATTATTTGAGTCATCCAGTTGCTTAAACTTTATCTATTTTTTTGCTTTTCTTTGATTATTCGATTAATCAAGAAAAAGCAAAAAAAACGATTTGATCACGAGTTTTTTTTTAACACTCATTTATTTGCAGATAAAGTTATTTTCAAGACTTCCTGGATTACATTACCTTTCTCTGAATTACATGAAATAAATTGTCGAGTTACATCTGTTTTTTCACTTATGACTTATGATTTTACTAGAAATACCAATACAATTGATAAAATTCTAAACAACTTGAGTTATCTGTCACTTGGGTACATTAAAGGAAAAAATGTTCTATTGGGTTTATTCGAATAGCCTTGCGTAATAATAAAACACGATCGTATTATGCAGTGAATAACTTTTGACATATACGGAAATCTATATCCGTACATAAAAAAATGTTCGCTGCTAAAACCTATTTGCACCGACAAAGCCTTTTACTGTCATCGGGTAAGACATAGCCCTTGGCCGCCCTGAAGTAATGCCTCACGGCAATTACAGGGCAGCCAACAATATGTTGAACATAAAAAAAAAAGGTTGAGACATAGCCCAAAAATTGTCGAAAAATGTTATCTACGTGTGTCATAATGTATATTATTGGTCCAAAAGTTTTAGAATTTATTGCACTAAAAATANTAAAACACGATCGTATTATGCAGTGAATAACTTTTGACATATACGGAAATCTATATCCGTACATAAAAAAATGTTCGCTGCTATAACCTATTTGCACCGACAAAGCCTTTTACTGTCTTCGGGTTAGACATAGCCCTTGGCCGCCCTGAAGTAATGCCTCACGGCAATTACAGGGCAGCCAACAATATGTTGACTATAAAAAAAAAAAAAGGTAGAGACATAGCCCAAAAATTGTCGAAAAATGTTAACTACGTGTGTCATAATGTATATTATTGGTCCGAAAGTTTTAGAATTTTTTGCACTAAAAATTNTTATCTACGTGTGTCATAATGTATATTATTGGTCCAAAAGTTTTAGAATTTATTGCACTAAAAATAAAATATTCAACAAAAACTTTTTACTTTTTTATTTTTAAAACGCTACTTAATTATATAATTCTCATATGCTTTAGTAGTTTTAATTAAGTTTTAATTATATAGCAGTGAAAAATGACGGGTTTAAGTACTTGCTCGGACAGATGTCACAGCATTTCTTAAAACAAGTCTACTTAATTAGTATACTGAAAGCTCATTTTATTTTTTCTTTAGCAGAGATTATTATTAAAAATGATTTTTTCTTCATTAGTTTATTACTCCCTATAGTATTTTCAAAATCACATGAAGATAATTATGTGGTAAAATGTTGACTCATATTAACGTTTAGTGTTAAATGGACGGAGACATTATAAAACGTTTTCTTGGAAGTTTATAAGTTTTTGACGAAAACAAAAAACTTTTAGATTTAATTTTCAAAATGTTTCAGTTATTGAGTGTTCATAATTATTCTTGTTGACCGATTTTCATATTAATTATAAAAAATATTTTTTAGTATTAACCTCTATAACTATTTATCAACTAACTTAATTCATAAAGCTTATACTTGTAATATTATTATTACAATTTATTGAAGTTTTAATTCTTATAAAATAAAATAAGCAACATTAAAGTTTGACTAATCATTCAGAAAAATTATTGAAAAACTAAATGTTCCTTGTACATACCTTAAGTTTATTTTATTATTTTAATATTGCATTCATTATTTCTTAGAATATAAATCAATATATTTACCATTCAATCAGAAATTAATTCTTTTAAAAAAATTTTATTTTTTAGTAACTTAGCGCGTTAAATGAAAAAATTTAAGCACTTTCATCCTTACCTTAGATACATACTGATTTTTATTCATTCAAACTAATATTGTATTTTTATTAAAAAATTCCAGTAAAAAGTGAAAAATAATTTTTTTTTACTAAATACACATTATTTTATAACTTTGATTATGCAATATTGTTTTAGTTACGTATAGCAGATTATATGAGAAAATAATAAAATACTTCCTTTATTTATTTCAAATTTAACGGTGAAAATATATATATTTTTTTAATCTAACAACCAAATTTCTATTTAGTGTCAGCAATTTCTAGTAAAAAAGTTTTTACTGAAAATCAATATGATATATTTTTAAAAAGAAACAAAAAGCTTCATTAATTTTTAAAGGGACAATCGACTATTCCTTCGAAAATTAACAGTGTTTTATGTAGTATACTATACATAATATATTGATAATTAATATAAGTATCTTCTATTAATTTTAATACAAAAAAAAAAGGATCATTTACCAAGATATTTTATGAAATGATAAAGAATTATAGTGATATGAAATTCTAAAATGGTTTAGCAAAAAAAAAACCATATAATTGTTATTGATATATTACGCTTTTAAAAAGAAAAGTGATGAAAAAGGATAATTTAAAATAATAATATAATTTAAAAATATATATCTAACGATTAGATTTATTTTAAAATAATGTTATCTATTGATATATGATCTACGCTGGGAAAAACGGGACTAGATGTAACAATTTTTATAATTTTACTTTTAGTCATTTTTTTGGTTGAGTTAACCAAATTTTTATAAATTAAAAATTTTAAGCTATCATAAAATCATAAATTATTCAATAAATTTGTATTTTATGTACCAAAAAATTAGACATAACTTCAACATGTCAAAATGTAACAAATTACTCCAAAATACACTGGAACAATTATTGTGGGTGCTACAACATCCCCCAAGTACTAATACCTTAGTATTTTATTAATACTAAATTTTTAAATTAAAAGTTTTTTTTTATTTTATTAGTATTCTACTAATAATAGTATTAATAGTATTAGTTATATTAATTACTACTACTCTAAAGCATTAAGCATTTAAAGCATTTACTCTAAAGCATATATCTATATCCCATCTTCGCAGTAACTGCCAGGATGAGATAAATTTTTACTTTCAAGGGAAGTTGCTACACTATAATTTTTTCAAATATATTTTTCTAAAAATAGCAAAGATATTATAAAATATAATTTTATTAAATTATTATAACACACGAAAAATATCTTAAGTTTATATTTATTTATAGACATTGTTTTCGGGTTCAGTAATTTTCAAATCTAAATAAAGTAAATTAAACTAATTATATGAAATTTTCTGAAAAAGGCAATTTCTTTATAGGTAATATATACTGTAACAACTTACCCCCTTGAGATATAAATTTATGTAAAAAATTCCATATAATACTAGAAATGGAATTTTTTATATACAACGTTATAATACAAAAAAATATAATTATTTTTATAATTTCAAAATAGAAAATAAAATAGTATTACCCATTCATTTATTATTTAATATTAAATATATCTTAACTTAAATCTATAATCCGAAAAATAAAAAGCAAAATATCTACTAAATTTTGCTATCGATAAGTTAAAAGATAAAAAGGCGTATAAAATTTCATATAGTTAAGGTATAACCATTATTATCACGAAATATTTTAAGTATTAATTGATCAATGAAATCATATGATTTTCGTGGTGCTATTACTGTTTAAAATTAAACATCTCAATTGTAACAAGTTGCCTCTGTAAAAACTAGCCTCGTTTTACCCTACAACAGAAAGGGCACAAATCACTTTTTTATAACCACTGAATCGAGTGTAAAATTTCTTATAAAATTGTGTAAAAAAACCTAAAAAAGTAATTTCTTTTATTCATCATTAATATGTTATAATATCTTCATTGAATAAACAACGATGCAAAAACATTTGAACTATTAAATTTTTTTAATAATTCTTGGTAAGTTAAATTTAAAATTATTTTAAACAATCAATATAACTGTTATCAAATGTATCAAAATAACTCATAAAATATATTACTTAATCACATAAGCATCAAATGTGAAAAATAAAGAATTATAAGTTATATTGTATTTTATCCATAACGTTCTATTTTATCTAAATTAATAAAAACGATTATTTTTCTTTCTAATCCTATGTTGAGTTTATTTTTAATTTATCCATTAAGAACTCATTGGCTTAATTATTATGTTTAACTTATTACTAATAAATTTGACTATAAATTGTTCATTTATTCTATTCTGTACTATATTGTTAAGTATTTATACTTATAATACTTTAACACGGTCAATGTGAATAATAAAAAAAACTATTTAAAAATTGTTAATATAAAAATAATAATTACTAAACTCTAAGTTGTTTATAAAAGAGAAAACTAGTTATTATTGTAATATTTTTTTGATTTTTCCAGACTCATGGAACTTAATGATTTTATCATATTCGCTGTACTAAGAGCGTTTCAGTTGAAATAAGTGATTACTTTTTATACACAAACAAACACAATTAAATGGAACGCAGACTATTACATAAAGTTATGAGTATATAAAACTACCACTGTTCAAAATCACAATAATTTATCTAGTTGATAAACTATAACAATTTCTTGGAAATATTGAAAGCATTCATGATACATATTTTTATTTACTAGTAAAACCAGTAAACGAAAATATGTTTTAGGAATCACCTAAAACATGGTTTTATATNGAAAATATGTTTTAGGAATCACCTAAAACTTTAGGTGGTTTAATATTTTGATGAAAAAAACTGTGTTTGAAGGTTATGATTATGTTTACATTTTATCTTTTCCTTGATGGCATATTTATGGGAATTTTGCCAATGCAGAGTATAATTTATGGACTATTTTCTTTGGCGAGCTTTTAAAACGATCTCTTACTAAATATCTGGTGAATGTCAACTAATAGACATTTAACGGCTTCAGTCAGCATTATTTTTTCATCGAAGACTTAATTAATATAATCTCAACAAAAACTTAGAATTTCACAGGTTTACTTAATGATATGTTCTATTAGCTTAAATATATTTAAAAAATATACATCTGATATACAGTCAATAATTCTACAAAAAAAAAAATCGAATGTTATAAGGCAGGATTTTTATAGAATGTCAAAACACATAAAGCTTTGATACATAGATGAAAAAATAATGACTCTCTCCCTTGAGTCTTGTGATACATCAGGCGTATGCCGCCATTGATTTAAATTTAAACAAATTGTATTTGTTTACAATGTTAAATAAATGTATAGTAAAAAAATCACACACTTTATATACTACTTATTCTATGAATAATCTAATTATTAATATTTTATGGATAATTTTCTAAATAATTAAAATAATAAAAACAAAGTTTATTTTTAGTACCAAGCTAAATACATTTTTCTCGTATGTTATTCATAAAAATGTTAAATGGTAATTATTATTGACTTATGTTTTATAACTTATATTTAAATGATGTTTTAATTTACCAATTTATCTTTGAACAACGTTTTTTCTTTCGAGGTTTTTCAAATAACTTTGGGTAAATTTATAAACAAATAGCTTTTACGCTTTTCAAGTTGATAAATCAAACCAGAATTTATCCATTGCCTCGAATTTAATTCATGACAAGAAAGTTTTTAATCGTTGCAGATTGAAAAGTAGTGTCAATTAAAATTCAATCAACAAAACTTTTACAGTGCATAGTCGTATGGGCTCAGATATTTATTTTTCGACAAACATGATAGAAAGGTTTTGAAGTTCGCGCCGTACGCAAAAGTTATTCACGAAAAACAAACCGCAACCAATAACTGGGATTAAAAAGATTTCCTCTTGTGGTTTGCAAAAAGGAAACGACTTTATGCATTGTTGTTCGACGAACCCAGACGCCGATGCCTTATAAAACCATTACAATCCCTTTCCGTTCATACTGTTGCAGTTTTAAAAGCCTCGACGATTTATATATTGAAATAAAAGACAAAGCTAAGAAATTATAATTATTGTGGACTGTTAATTTTTCTTTATTTAATTTTTTCGAGAACTCATAATCTGTACCATATGCATTGCAAAATTACAATTTCCTCGGTTCTAGAGAAAAATAATTTTATTTCATTAATAACTATACGTTTAAAACGTAAACGACTTTGTATGACAAAAAACTGCACTTGAATATTTATGCATTTATAAAAAAAATATAAAGACAAACATTAGTGGACTAAATAAATCATTAATACCTGTATTATTTTAATAATAACATAATATTTCTTGATTTATTAGTTATTAATTACTTTTTTAATTCATCCCTTATAGACATATTGACGGTTGGGTTTGATATTCACTGTTAAATTTGAAAAGCATTTTATGATTATTCATTATTTTTCATCTCTTTTAAACCACAACATTCTTGACAACATAAAGCATAGATAAGTCTTATCACTCCTATCGGATTACAGTTAAATAAATTTAGCACAGTTAGTGAGCGGCGTTTGCGGGTCCGTGTCTTCTCATCGTAGCTGTTTGATGTATTTGGGCGACGCTACATTTTTTTTTTTGTCTTTTCGCCAATTTATCAGCGAAAACACCGTATTTATTTTTTTGGTTATTATAATAATAATATCTAAGTTAGATAATTGAATAATTGATGATGTCCCTATTAAATTTCCTAATTTTCTTTAAAGAATTATTACGCAAAAAGTTGTTTGTAATCTATAAGAATGAAACAAAATTTGTATTATTATGACATGCATTAGTATTTCAAATAGTCTAATATTGGTAATTTTCTCCGTCTATTGCACATACCACATATACGTATTATGCTATGCATCATTATTTAAACTATTTAAATATAAATAATATATTGTTTAATATTATCTAAATGAAATCGTACACGATTTCCTTGCATAAAATTTGAAATTAATTTTTATTGACAAAAATGTGCAAGGGATATCTTCAATATTGTTTTCTTTTAATGTCAAACTGTCTGCAGTATAACCTAATGTAAACGCGACGTAGTCAATTGTACCACATTATTATTGTTTCCTATGTTCTTATTTGATATGTCGGAGCAGTTGCTCTTTTAGGTATATTATTTTTTCATTTTCACTTCATACTTGTATGTTTCACGGTGTTATACAAAAAAAACAATTTTCAAACTACTGAACCAATGTGGATTAGTAAATGATATTTGCCTTAGACAATTCAAACTGAAGGGAAAAGGTTCAAAATTCATCGAACACTATTAGATCCGGATAGTATCCGCCCTCAAACCGGCACCAACGGGACAATTTTTTGCTGACTTTTTGCTTCCCTAGGGATTTTATCAAAATAACACGTGTGTGTCACGTTTTTATCCCAAAACAATACCCAGAGATAATGGAAATTACAAAAAAAAATAAAAATGAACACTTTTTCGAACATATTTCTTAATAAAAACTATAATACTCTTTAAGTTTTCTTACCTAAAATGTTTAGAACTCTATATGGGTTTGTTCCACATATTTCTATTATTACTTCATATTTCTTTATTTATTGTAATTATTTATTCATCTTTAAATAACGATTTTAAAACAGTCAATGTCCTACAAACATTATCAATTCTATTTCTTTACTGTGTAATTTTGTAAAAATTACAACACACGAGCAACACGAAAAATGTTTAAATCTTCAACGAACGCACATTTCAAATTATTCCTATGACTAATACAATTTTAAAGAATGTATTTTTAAATTTCTGTTATTATGTTTGAACAATGAAGTTATAAATTACAAGAAATTATAAAAAATTGAATTTACTCTTCATGCGTAATATAGTACTTTATAAAAGACATTATAATTTTATAGATTACACTGTACGAAATAATTCAAAAATTCCCATACGGAAATATGATATGTTTATCACTAATATCAAACATTTCCTATACATCGAATGCATTGATAATTTCCCGTACATCTATGCAAAAATTCGCACAATTTTTAAAAAAATGTATATATGTTACCAAAGGGTGACTTCATTTAACACTATTAATGGTATGTAATTGAATAAGTCAGAAAAGTCAACTTATTGTAAATTTTATGAAAAGATTATTTTTCTAATAATAATAAAAAAAAAGTAGTAGGTTAGTAACATTATTATATACATTAATTGAATATTTTTTGTAAATTTGTTAAATTTAACCTCGAGAAATTATTATATTAAATAAACATTTTAAAAATAATGTTTACTTACGAGTTAAATTATTTAAGCTGTGAATTTTTCTTTCCTCGAACAATAGATAAAAGTCAATAGTTACTAAATTGAGCGTATTTCAATTTTATTTAACATAAATGATTACTCAATTGTAAAATAATTATACTAAGACATTTCAAAGTTATAAAATCTTAAGTTAAAATATGTATATAAAAACTAATTTGGATATAACCAAAAATACTTTTAAAAAAATGGTTATTACATGACATTACACAAGGAAAAAAGTCTAAAAATAATTCTAAAATCGGATTGTTGAGATCAAATAACATGATTTTCTAAAATAAATATTATTTCTTTAATAAACCAAACGCTTAAGATATTCATTTAGGTACCTAAGGAACAATGTAACATACTAGTAATATAATTTATATTTAAATATAATAAAAGTTGACATTAAAAATAAAAATTGTTATAACACAAGAATAGCAATTCACATTAATCTTATACTTTTAAAACGGCGCGGTTTATTTAATGTAATGGATCCAGCGGTTTTTTTATATATGAAAATTTGTCTCAATTATTTATGTGTTTCTTATTAAATTATGTATTCATGTTTCGTAAAATTAATATTTTTAGTTGTAATAAATTTTCAGTTTGTTTACAATAGTCACTGATAAATAAAAACTTTGACGTTTTATTCACAAATGATATTTTAAAACAATTATTTAATTCTTTATCAAGTCACATAGGATTGTTTAGTTAATCCGACCGTTTTGAATTTATGAACGATCTAATAAAAACGAAATGTATCATTTGCTACCTATTTAAAAAAACATTTGTATCGTCAGTTTGATTTGATATCTTGTTTTTTCTATTACTCGATTTTTCAAATAGATTTTATATTTATATGTTTCCCATACGAAATAATAAGTGAAAAACGAAATACAACGCATTTGACGTAGTTCACAGGAAAAGAGTCTTATTTTCAGTTCATAAATCTTTTCGAATAACAAACTAAAATAAAGGACAAAACTAGACGAAAATTTAAAGTTTGTCGTCGTCATTCTACTTTTCAAACACTTACAACTACATAAAAAATACAATACACAATAATTCACTTTTTTTTGTTAAGTATAAAGATATCTGCGTATTACATTAAATCAAAAATAATCGTATTTTATTATATAGCTTGCTATTTTAATGTTTTTTATATTAAAAGCAAAGAAAAATCTGGTATATTTTTTTAATATTCCAAATTTTTCTAAAAAATATAAGACTTTGTAATTTTTTCAT